ACTGCGATTGCCTGGCCATTTCATATTGGTTCTTTAACCAACTGCCATTTAACTAATGCTCGAGGATAAGGAATACATTTAATGCGAGAATTTGGTAATATCTTCGGCATGCCGTAGATTTAATGCGCTTGTATAGCTTTGGCTTTGCCTCTACAAGGCAAATCCACTCCTCAGGGTGAAAAAGGGGTGACAAAAAACAGCATGAAGACATTTTTGTTACTTCATCGATTTGATTCACGAAAAAGTTTCATTTGAGAAGTGTGTGGCCAAAAAGTAAAAAACACTTCAAGTGAAAGAACCGCGCAAAGCCAGTTAATACCATGAATACATATGTTAATATGTACCAAACATTTTATGCGCAATGTCAGCGTCATACGGCAATACGAGTGCGACAATTATTCATCATATATATATATATAATTATATATATATATATACATATATATACAGACACACACACACACACTCAAGTGCCTACTCGGCGCGTATTTATATAAATATAAGCAATTGCAAGATGTATGTACATACATATATAGTTCTTGCCGCTTATCAGGCTGGCAACTCTCGAGTTATATGAGACCCCTCATAATCGTTATCGTAACGCCCAACAAATTCCAAGTAATCGTCGCCGCCGTCGTCGCCGTCGTCTAAATTGCCAGCCAAATACTGTGCGAATCAAGCATTAGGGAACAGCCATTGCTGCCTTAGTATAATAATTGATTGATATTATCCATGATCATATGAGCTCATAAAAAGTATCGCCTGCCTGGTAATGGGGTTCAATGAGAACCCCAACCAAACAAAACAAACGGTTAGACACAACAATATTTAAGTTGTTGCCTTTTCTAAATAAATCTTTTTTTAAGACCCGACAGCTTGTTGCTATTTGCCAAATATTTAAATTTAATTTCAACTAAGTTGAATTTCTCACATAAAGACTAGTCGAAAATGCATGATATAGGCCTATATATATAGCATATATCAGGGATAAAGGCCTATATATATATATATATATATATATATATATATCTCAACTTGTAAGTCTCTAGTTTATTGAGAATATATCGGGAATATATGCATATACATTCAGAGTTCGCAGAACCTCTTGTCTGCCTGCTTTAAGATGCGCTTCTTATACATATTGATTCATAGACTTGTTGGGTTGCATAAACGATGTAATACCCCGTTGAAAGCTAGCGATAAATTTGCTCTTTGGGTTCCGACGGTTAGTCATGCCCCCCGACTCATATTTCGTGCTGCCTGCTTGCTATCACATAATGCCCATAATGTTCCTGTATCAACTCGATCACCCTAACAAAAGTTAAAAAGAAAAAAACAACAAACCAAAAGCTGAAAATACCCTCACGATTGTCAAATTTTGGGTTTTTTTTTTCTTAGATTCTATGCGGGCCTTTTTTTTTTTTTAGATATTACGTAGCGCCATCTCTTTTGGGCATTTTGGTTAATTGAAATTGTGATGAACTTGACTTGTACACTAATTGCTCGCTACCCCCTAGCCTTTACACCCCCCCCCCCCCACTTCTCACCCCCCCTTCGGGCTAGCACTGGACAGTTTTCCTACTGTGGGAAACAACAACAATAGACGCAATTATAATCAAATCGATGGCATTTGAACTGCTTAATTATTGGATATTTGCCCCCACAGAGACCCCATGTAAATTGAAATCTATTTCGATGTGTGTGTGTGTGCCTGTCTGATGTGTGTGTGTGTGTGTGTGTGTGTGTGTGTGTGTGTGTGGTCTGTGTGTGCAGATGTGGGCACATTCCAATGCCCCAATCTCGGTGCAAACAGCAACAACAAACACAATCAAAACATTTTCAGCTGATCGAAGTTGAAATGCTCTATAAAAAATATATATATATATATTTCGATTCGAACTTGAACCAAATTTAAATAGAAAAGAGCATCAGATTTGTGCACAGTTTCTCTACGATTATATTGTACAAAAGTTTTAAAGGCGGACACAATTCTAATTACGGTCTATACCCTGTTTTCCTTGAGAATGGCTAAAGCGAGTTCAATGGGAAGCCTGAAGGAAGCAACTCCGAGCCTCGAAAGTGTATAGTTTATGGATTGGGACGACGAACTGAGGCAGAAACTACAAAAAAATTAGACTTACTATATCATGTGTATTATTGGAATATAAATAATATCAATCGACTAGCTAGAAATATAATCGATAGCTTAAATAATATGATCGATAGTCAATAGGGAACTTTTGTGAAGTACTCTAAGCATCGATATATATCGGCACAAATTCAAGGAGATCGTGGCAGAGTTTTTGTCGAATATAGACGAGTCGAACGATATTGTCTACCATATATATATATTCCCCATTTGCACAATATCGATAAATATCGATTTTGACACTTGGTTTCCCGAACATCAAATAAAAGTTATTAAAGCTAGATACATTAAACCTTTTCTAACACGCACACATAGAGAATATTTCACTATTAGGAGGTTTTCCCCCGAAAATTGAAGAAAGCCTCGCAGAAAACCTACACACAGTTTTGGCATGCCATATGTGAGTCCTGTTAAGTTAAAAAAGATCGGACAATAAGCACCGAAGCTACTTGAGAATGCGTATGGCTTTAAAGGGTAAATATATGCTAAGGTGGAGGAATAAGAGAAAATTACGTGTTATATGTTGTATAGAACGAAGCGAGACGGCAACTCGACGCAGAGTAGAGGGTATTATATATATATATATTTTGCTATGTGCACATGTGCTGCCGTTTTGGTTATTAATCATTTATCGGTGCGTGCGCATATTTTATAGGGAAAATCAGAATAGAAAAGAATTATTGATCGGGCGGGGCTTTTCCAGGCACGGCCCAGAGACGTGCGTGCGTAATATAATTCTTATATAATTCTAAGTCCATTCAATGCGTCACATATGCCAACACATATTTGTAAGATCCCAAAGCCCATTAAGGGCATCGAAAACGGTTGATGGCCAGTTGGAGAGCGCTCCAGCACTTTGACTATAAGTTATACGTTATGGGCTGCTTAGCACGCGATGCCCCTGATAAAGCACTTTACACAGTCGTTAATTCTTGAATGGGGGAACCAAAGTTACTTTTTCCTCGACAAACAAAAGAAACTTTCGCAATTGTTTAACCGAACTTCTTTCTAGTAAAATGAACATATGTTGAGATCTATATTATTCAATTATATCTAAATAAAGCTCAAGTCAACAAATTTTTGTGGGTAAGCCACAGACGAGCTCCTTTGAGGATTGAGCCAAAAGAAATATATATGTATATATATTTTTTTGAGGTAAGGCTTACCTAGAGTTGGGGGAGCTGCCATATATTGTAAACATGATAGATACATGTGTCTGTTACGGCCATAAAATCTGAAATGGCACGGATAGAGCTGGTCTTTGTTCGGCTTATTTCCCGTGTCATGGAATATTAATAGAAATCCATATCATGTTTTTACGATATGTTAATCAAATCAAATCAATTGCTGAGTCTCACTTCGTTTACAATCTTTGCTCAAAAAATTTGTTTACATTTTCACAAACTGTTTGATAATATGGAGCAGACACGAATGAGATACTAGCTCATGCACTGGAAAAGTTTACCCTGGCACGGCCCAACCCAGCTCAGTTATTTTGCATATTATAGTTATAATTCTACATATACATATATGAGTTCAACTTTCTATTCTTAAATTGAAGAACATATATTTTGGGATATGCATTTATTGCATAACTAAATATTTATTTATGTCAATTTTTTTTTTTTACACGAACACGATACTTTTCCAAACACGCACGACAAATATTGATCAAGGCACGGTCGAGTAAAGAGATTTATTGCCTTCTTTTCAAAATTGAGGAACAGAAATGTCGAGATCTGCATAAAATGTATAACATTTTTCTAACTCCATATCTAATATTTAATTTTATTTATTTATTATAAATTGTTTTTCGACTTGTTTCGACAATGAATATAATTAATTATACTTATATTTTATATCAACTATAGCCTGACTAGAAATCGTACTCTTTATATTGCTGAGGCTTGCACGAATCTGCACGAAATAAAGTTTTGCAGCACGAGCCTGTCGTGTCACGAACCAATAACACGGCACATGCTCATCTCTAATGCAGAGTATTCAGTTGCATAGGCCAAAGAGCGGAAAAGAGAGAGAGAGAGAGAGAGACAGAGAGAGAGGGAAAGGAAAAGGGAAAGAGAATGAGAACGAGAGTGATATAGAGAAAGGGGGAGAGAGCGAGAGATCGAGCTAAAGAGAGAGAGAGGAGAGATTGAGAGAGAGAGCGAGAGAGTTTGACAATAAGAGATCGAGAGTGGGAGCATGAGAGAGGGAGAGAAAGAGAGTAAGTGTGAGAGAAAGACAATGAGTGTGAGAGAATGAGAGTGAAAGCAAGATAGATAAAAAGTGAGTGAGTGAGAGATACGGGAGAGTGAGTGAGTGAGAGATAGAGAGAGTGAGTGAGTGAGAGATACGGGAGAGTGAGTGAGAGATAGAGAGAGTGAGTGAGAGATACGGGAGAGTGAGTGAGAGATACGGGAGAGTGAGTGAGAGATACGAGAGAGTGAGTGAGAGATACGGGAGAGTGAGTGAGAGATACGGGAGAGGGAGTGAGAGATACGGGAGAGTGAGTGAGAGATACGGGAGAGTGAGTGAGAGATACGGGAGAGTGAGTGAGAGATACGGGAGAGTGAGTGAGAGATACGGGAGAGTGAGTGAGAGATACGGGAGAGTGAGTGAGAGATACGGGAGAGTGAGTGAGAGATACGGGAGAGTGAGGGAGAGATGCGGGAGAGTGAGTGAGAGATGCGGGAGAGTGAGTGAGTTGTCGCCTTCTCGCTGGGTTGCGCATTAAGTGCCATAGACCTTTTAATATATTTACTAACCGAATGATTCATACCCTTATCTTTGTACCGTTGTGTGCGCTGTGTTTTAATGGAGTTGCATCCGATTTTGATTGATTATTTTGCAGAAATGAGTGCCTCATCAGTGTGCGAGACGGCAACGAATTCAAGCGAATTATCAGCGGCAACAGCCAAGGGCAACAGTTGAACAAGAAGAAGAACAAAAAAAATAAATAAGAAGAGCAACTGCAGCAAATTGTGTTGCAACGAAACGAAACGACCAAAAAAAAAAAAGAGAAAGCAAGAAAGAGTTTAGCTACAGTAAACACCAGCTAAGAGATAAAAGTGATTCACACAGGCACAAAAACCAAAAAAACAATCAAATAAATTAAAGAATTAAGCACAAGCAGAGTCTGGAACGCACGACCCCCCGCCCCCCGCCCCCCCCAGCCTCCAGCCCCCCGGCCGCAACCAGCCTGGAAAAAAAAAACAAGTGGCCCCAAAAACGAAAAATAAATAAACAAAATACAAACAATTGACGAGTAGAAACATAACCTAAAATCAAAATAAAATCCCACACGCACGCACAAAGAGAAGAGAAGAAAAGAAGATAAAGGCAGTCAGTCCAGAGTACAGTGCACACTCAATATGATGAACTCGACAACGAAGCATCTGCTGCACTGCACGCTGCTCTTCACTGTGATAATTGCCTGCGAAGTATTCTCCGGCGGTATTAAGATCGATGAGAACTCCTTCACCCTTATCGATCCATGGACTGAGTATGGCCAATTGGCCACCGTATTGCTGTACTTATTGCGTTTCCTCACCCTGCTCACCCTGCCGCAGGTGATGTTCAATTTCTGTGGCCTCGTCTTCTACAATGCCTTCCCCGAGAAGGTCGTACTCAAGGGCAGCCCCCTGCTGGCCCCCTTCATATGCATACGCGTGGTCACACGGGGCGATTTCCCCGAACTAGTCAAGATGAATGTGTTGCGCAATATAAATACATGCCTCGATACGGGCCTCGAGAATTTCCTGATTGAGGTCGTCACCGACAAGGCGGTGCATCTGGCCCAGCATCGGCGCATCCGTGAGATTGTTGTGCCCAAGGAATATAAGACGCGGACCGGCGCCCTCTTCAAGTCGCGCGCCCTTCAATACTGTCTCGAGGATACGGTGAATGTGCTCAACGATAACGATTGGATTGTCCATCTGGACGAGGAGACTCTGCTCACCGAGAACTCGGTGCGTGGCATTATCAATTTTGTTCTCGATGGCAAGCATCCCTTTGGCCAGGGCCTCATCACCTATGCCAATGAGAACGTTGTCAACTGGCTGACAACCCTGGCGGACAGCTTTCGTGTATCCGACGACATGGGCAAGCTGCGCCTCCAGTTCAAGCTCTTCCACAAGCCACTCTTCAGCTGGAAGGGCAGCTATGTGGTCACCCAGGTGAGTAACAGCCAGGCGGCCCCAAAACAATTACAATTCTATTTAAATGCCGGAATTCTGCCAAAAAACTTGACTTATCATACTTCAAGTAAACTAGATTTCTATAAAAATGAATATATCTCCCATTTGGCATCTAAGTAGTATAGATAGATAATTATGGTTAGCTGCAACTCTTAACTATCTTTTTTTTTATGCACATAACCTCAAAATCTATCAACTTTTGGCAAGGGAATTCGCTTTATTTCCATCTGCTAATTTCTTAATATTCAAGTAGATCAGTTTATTCTATTGATATAACTCTAACAGGTTACAGGAGTTACCTAAAACAAGTAAGAGGTTCTAGTCGGGAGCTCCCGACTAGGGGATACCCTGAACCCTCTTCTTCCGATAGGCGATAGGAAAATATATATATATATATATATATATATATATATACTATTCTAGAAGCTACATGTCAAGTTTGGTAACTCTAGCTTATATTATTTGCCGACTTTGCTTAAAAAACAGGATTTCGATATCGATTACTTGGAAACGGGGAAAGTTATCGAATATCGGAAACAAACTTGATCTGCGCGGGGACAAGGAGGACCTACAGCTAAAATTTCAAGTCTCTAGCTCTTATAGGTTCTGAGATCCTTGCGTTCATACATACGGACGGACGGACAGACGGACGGACAGACAGACGGACATGGCTAGATCGACTCGGCTATTGATGCTGATCAAGAATATATATACTTTATGGGATCGGAGATGCTTCCTTCTGCCTGTTACATACATTTGCACAAATACATTATACCCCCTTTACCCATTTTTAATAGGTTTAGGGTCTAAATAGTTAGAAAATCAAAATTTTAGTTGCCAAAAATATGTTATTATTAAAGAATTCTAATATCTGGAAGCCATAGTTTTTCGTGAGTGAAAACAAATAAGGTTATATTCTTAATTTAAATACTTCAGTAAAATGGTAAAAAAAAAAGGATATGGTAAAAAGAGCTTGAGTTTTTATTCAAGAACTTGATTGGGCATCGATTGTTCCTATGGTAGTTATATGAGAAAGTAGCGTCGAAATGTTCAGTATTCTTAACAAAAGAGAGGGAAACATTATATAGACGTCCAATTCGGCCGATTCCGGTATATCGAATGCCTGCAAAAAAAAAGAGGGATAGCTTTAAAACTGGGAGACAAAAGCGAATACAAACTAAGGTCAAAGACTAAGACTACTTTCTTGCTAAACAGTTTAGAATAGATGACTTTATAAGAGGAAGAGCAGGCTCCGAGATATACATATATACTTTAGGTGGCAGCCGATGGTGTTGCAGTCATTCGCAGGCAAAGACTACTGTAACAGATATATGTACATACATACATATAGTATGTATAGATTCCAAGTGAAATGTGTATTTCAATTGAATTGGCATTGTCTTTGAGCATCATTTGATTTGGGATAGACAGATAGATAGATCGTTATGTATATTAAATTTGTGTTTCTGGCTTTGAACAGGTTGGCGCCGAGCGTTCCGTATCGTTTGACAATGGCATCGATGGCTCCGTGGCGGAGGATTGTTTCTTTGCGATGCGTGCCTTTAGCCAGGGCTACACGTTCAACTTCATCGAGGGCGAGATGTACGAGAAGTCGCCGTTCACGCTGTTGGATCTGCTGCAGCAGCGCAAACGCTGGCTACAGGGCATCCTGCTTGTGGTGCACTCGAAGCTGATACCGTTCCGGCACAAGCTGCTGCTCGGAATTAGCGTTTACTCGTGGGTAACAATGCCGCTGTCCACATCGAACATCATATTCGCCGGCCTCTATCCGATACCCTGTCCCAATTTGGTTGACTTTGTCTGCGCCTTCATTGCGGCCATCAATATCTATATGTATGTGTTTGGTGTCATCAAATCATTTTCACTGTACCGCTTCGGGCTGCTCAAGTTTTTGGCCTGCGTCCTCGGCGCCGTCTGTACGATACCCGTCAATGTGGTCATCGAGAATGTGGCCGTCATTTGGGGCCTGGTTGGCCAGAAGCACAAGTTCTACGTGGTCCAGAAGGATGTGCGTGTCCTCGAGACTGTTTAAGCGGCAGCGCACACTAATCTAACTGTAATTAACACAAATGCAAAATCAATTAATCAAAATGCAAAAAACCAAATGAAACAAATTAATCGCACAACAACAACAGCAACAACACCAGCAACAGCAACAACATCAACAACATCATGATCTTTTTTATTCGTAAGCTTAAGTTGCACACACACAAACACACACACTCTCACACACACACTTATTGTTGTTACGTTCTAAAAAAACACACAAAGAAAAATTTACTTTGGCCGCCCTTTTGCAACACTGTTAAAATTGCCAAAAAAAAAAAACGTTTATAATGCTAGAACAAATAGTTATATATATTTAGTATATATATATATACACACACACACACACATGTGCTATACACTTGTCTTAATATATGCACACACACATGCACACACACACAAACTTAAAGAGAAAAGCTAAAAAAAATTCTAAGTTAATAATAAATTCTGCATTAAGTGTAATTTTTTTTATAGTCATTAGTAGCGAGGTAGAAGAAGAAGCAGCAGCAGCAGCAGCAGCAACAACAACAACAACAACAGTAAAACGCTATAAAAAATATATATATATATATATATATATGTGTATGTTTATATTGTATGTACTATATTATGTAGATTTATATTATTATCATTATTATTATTTAAATTAAAACTGTGTACATTAATGTATTGTAAATTGATAAACTGTTAAATATCATTCACACCAAATCACCAAAACAACAACAACAACAACAACAAAACCGACAACAACAAAAACAAGCGCATAAACCCTCGACTGTTATGTACTTACATACATATGTTTTTATGCATGGCCCTCATATGTATGTATATGTGTATGTTTGTATAGCCCGTATGCTTGTAGGCATGTGTAGCTATACACACGCACGCAACATATACCGTTACAAGCAAACGACAACAACAACAACAACTATGAAGCCCGTCCCCGCGTCGCTTTAGTTTATCCAAAGGAGCAACAATTGCTTTTCATTTGTTAAATCATTTTGTATTTATTATACACACACACACACACACACGCACACACACACACCCAACATACTAAACTTAATGAGAACCGATCAAAGTTGGATATTCCTTAAACTAAACACACACACGCGCACGGTGTGAATGATAGCTATCGTGTTTTTCAACACTGTTCTGGTCGCGGCCCGTCGAATTTTTGCATTAATTTAATGTTTCTATAATTTAATTCAATTTTTTTTTTATTGTTATTGGTGCTTTGAAGAATACAACACACACTCGCGCACACACACACACACACTTGCATAGATAAACAGCCCAAAACGCCGCCGCCAGCAATTAGTCGATATCCCTTAAATGCAACACACACGCACACATACATACACCCACACACGAACACATTGAAAACTGCAAATGAAAAAAAAAAAAGAACCAAATACAAAACGATAATAAAATGAGCAACAAAATATCTATAATAAAAAAAAATTAAATCAAACTTTTGTGTTTTTCTCTTAATATAACATCCAAAAGGAGTTTGGCGGACTATTTAAATCAAAAAATTAAATATATGTATATATTAATAAAAAGTAAATTGATCGAGTCAGCAGTGCGTGCTTTCTCTTTCTTGTCTCACAATGCGCTCTCTTTCATTCCTGTGCACATAGATTGAAAAATACAATTTACTTGACAATGCATGAATATTTTAAATAAATATAATAAATCTCACCAGTTCTGGCAATTAAGAGTACATGAGCATAGGAAAACAGAACTAACTAATATTTATAGAGATATACACGAACAACTTTCAATAAACACAATATTAAAAATACAAAACATTAACGTAATAATTTAAAGTTAAAATCGGCCCTGTAAAAGGGTATAAGGAGCTGGACTTCGCTTAGAAGAATTTCTTTTTAGTTGAGGGCGTATGCAAGAGCAGCTCCGAGTTTCTGTAAGAGGGAAATATCTATATAAAAACGTTGTTTATGAAAATCAATTCTTAATCAGACCTGGGCAGTCGGGAGTTACGCTTCTCCAGCACAGAGTTCGGGCTGGAGAGCGGCCCGGGGTTGGTGTGATCTGTCGATTTGATCACATCCGCATCCTCCTCGACTTCCGTGACGTCGCTGCTCACCGTAACTGTCATATTCTGTGCTGTGCCGGGCGTGGAGTTCTCCTTGTCGGCATTGTTGACTGGATTCTGGCAGTTGCCCCGGCACTTGCAGGAGCTGCTGCAGCCGCTGCTTGTTGAGAAACAGCCGCAGCGCTTCGTGTTGCAATTCGTGCGGCATTTGCAGCGCTTCGCTCCTTTGCGCGTCTCATCCGTCGTCGAGCTCATGTCTATGGAGCCCTGCAGGCTGTTGTTGGCGGTGGTATTGTTGTTGACGCTAGTGCTCCCGTTGGGATTGTCGCCCTCGGCGGCTGCTTCCAGTGTTGCGGTGTCTGAATGCGACTTCTGTGTGAATAAGAAATTGCGAGAATTAGGCAAAGAAGTGCCGGAGTGGAGTGGGGGAGCTATAGACTGCACTCTGGGCATGGCACTTGCCTTGGAACGTTTCTTCAATGGCACCCAGTCGGGATCGCTGTCTGAATCCTCCTGTCCGTCGCTTAGCAGGCTTTCGTTTAGAAAGATAACTGACTTATCGGCGGACTGAGGCTTCTTTGTCGCTTTTTGTTTGGACTTGATGCGATCGAGCTCCTGCTGCAGCGCCTCCTTGGTGCTGAGCAGCTCCTCGACTATTTTCTGGCGCTCCAGATCTTCCGGCTTTTGGGACTCACTGCCACCCAGCGCATGCGAGCTGCGCAGCAGCACCGCGACCTTCTCCTCGTAACTGCGCTGCTGGCTAGCCATCAGTTGCTCGTGCTCTCGCTCCGCCTGGCGCAGGCGTTTGGTCAGCTCCTCGTGCCGCTGCTGCGCTTCGTTCAGCTGGCTGCGCTGCTCGTCCACCAGCACCTTCTGCTCCATGATGCCCTGCGCCTGTTCGCGCCGCTGCTGCACCAGACTCTTGAGCAGCTGCTTATTAATTGCACGCGACTCGCCTATGCTCTGGACGCTGTCGCATAGCGCAGCCATGCGACTGTCTAGATCGTTGGAGCAGACCTTCTGCTGCAGATCCGCTATTTGGGCATTGCGCATCTCCAGTTCCTCCTCGAGGCTGGCCAGTAGCTGAGCCTGTTCTGCGTCTGGCTGCGCCTCCTGCTCCTGCTGCTGCTGCGCTCTGATCTCCGAGCAGTGGGCATTGATGATAGCACGATCCTCCATTAGCTGTTCCAGACTGTGCTCCGCGTCGATCAGCGAGAGAATCACCTCTAGTTCGCGATCCACCAAAGCATCCAGCTTGGCTGCACCCGGCTGATCCTTGGCATGACGCTGACGTTGCGCCTGCGCGGCTCTCTGCCGTTCCAGTGCATCCTTTAGCCTAAAAACAGAAAGCAAGAAGTCAAGAGTTAATTCCTCCCTTCCTTCGAAATATTGCTCCAGCGTTCAATTTAAATTACCGCTTGTTGGTGGCCAGCGCCTCCTCGCACTTGCGCTTGAGCACCAGGCGCTGCTTTGCGTGCAGCGTCTGCTGGCGCGCCATTTCGCTCTGCATCTTGCGATCCTTGCTCTTGAGCTGCGTCAGCTGCTTCTCGCTCATCATTTTCCACTGGCGGAAGCGCTCGGACTCGCCACGCATGGCGCGTATCAGCTTTACCTTCGACTCCTTCATGGCGCGTATCTCGGTGCTGAGGTTCTGGATCTTTTCGCGCTCTTTTTCGCGCATCTTTAACATATTTGCCTGCTGCACGATCTTCCGACGCATGTCGACAATCTCCTGCTCGAGCAGCTGCAGCCGCTTGCGCCGCTCCTCGGCCAGCTTGGCGGATGTGTCCTTTTGCTTGGTGGTACGGAGCTGGTCCATCAGCTCACGTCGCTCCGATTCCAGCTGCTCGATCTTCTGCTCGCACTGCTTGAACTTCTCGTCGATGCCATCGTCTTGGAGTTTGCTAAAGTTGCGCGTAACGCGGTCGTGCAGCTCCTGCTTAATGTCCAGCTGGCGATTTATGTTGCGCAGTTCACCGTTCAGATTCAGCTGCTTCATCGTGTGCTCCTCGGCGCGCGACTGCAGCAGCTCGTGCGTCTCCTCGCTGCCAAAGTTGGAGTCCTCGCTGCTGCTGCTGTTGCCGCCGTTGAGGCATTCCTTGCGATGCGTCTGCAGCGCGGTTTCCGTCTGCTGCAGCTCCTCGTCCACGCACGTCACAAGCTGCGTAATTTCGCGCAGCTGCTCCTGCCACCTCGTGTCTAGGAGCTGTGACTGATCCGTCGGCACCGCTTCCAGCTCCTGCTGCACCCCCTCCTCCGCAGCCTTGGGCATTGCCGTCGCGGTCAGTTTCGTCTTCAGCTCGAGCACGTGCGCTTTGAGCTTGTCGTGTGTGACCTCTGCTATGTGGGCACGCATCTCATTCTCGGCCAGATCGATGAGTGCCTGGTGCAGCTCCTGCTGCAGCCTTTGATTCTTCTTTTCAATGCGTGCGTTCGCCTGCTGCAGCTGCTCCAACTGCTCTTTAAAGCGCTGCTCGTTCGTCCCCGAGGAGCCGTTCAGACAGGGACCGTCAATGCCAAGGCTATTGCTATCGCCGCCGCCACCACAGGCTAGCAGCTTGACGCGCAAGTTCTGTATGATGTCCTTGAGCATCATTACCTCAGCTGCATGCGCATCCATATTCACGACGGGCTTGTTCTTGATCTGCAGTGCGCGATCCGCATACCTCAATGTGCTGAGCGTCTCGGCCACGTTGTAGTCCGCGGGACTGACACAGGCAATCATCAGGGTAATCGAATTGCCACCCAGCGAGTCCTGCAGCAGGCGCGTCAGCTTTGACTGTCGATAGGGCACATAGCCCGCCGTTTGGCCAGCTGCAAAGGGAAAAGTAGATAAGGGTGATAAGATTAGTGAAGTTAGATGCTTGACTCCCATTTTACTTACAGCCCAGCACATTGATAACGTTGCCCAGCGCGAGGAGGCCCTTGTTGATGTTGACGCCTTCCTTGAAACGATCCCCACAAGCGAGAGTCTTCGAGCAGCGCTCAGAGCCCGCCAGATCCACCAGGCTGAATTTGGAAGTCGTCACCGTTTTTCTGAGTAATCAATGCATATTAACAACTTGAAGGGAACTGGGATTAGCCACTTGACTACTCGACTACGCGACTTACTGGCCAGTCTTTTTGGTGGTTATAACAGTCAATGTGAAGATGGCGTGCGAACGGGATGACGTCTCATTCATGGCAGTGGCGGCAACAGCGCGGCCTGAGGAGCCGCGCATCAGTTGGTCGGTGACATGCTTGGCATGCTTCACCTCGACCTCGGTGAGTCCCGGCAGGACAATGCGGTTCTTGTCCTCGCGTATGTCAACAGTGCTGTCCTCGCGCTTGTTGGGCGAGAACAGATCGTAGAACTGCTCTTGATACAGTTCCACAAAGGAGCAGGTGATTTTGAAATGGAACTCCTCCTCCATGGCGGCCGTCTCCTCAAAGATTTCGTGCACTGCACGCGGTATCACGCCCACGTTATCATCCATGACCCCATCGAACGCAGTTCCCATCGTGTAGGTCTTGCCGGAGCCCGTCTGGCCGTAGGCGAGTATCGTCACGTTGTATCCATCGAGCAGCTTCTTCAGCTTGCTCCGCACACACGTCTCGTATACATTCTGCTGCGAATCGCTGCTGTCGAACACGTAGTTGTAGGTGAACGAGTCGCTGCAATTCACGGTCACCTGAGGAATCCCATCCACGGGCCGCTGCACGGCAATGCGGCAGCCGCGCTCCACCTCCGACTTAACCAGCGGGCGCACGCGCAGAGCAACGGCCACAGAGTCTGACATGGTTTGACGTTACAATCGGGCACTACAATTGCAAAACATATATTATTAGTGGAATTATTATTATTGTTGATATTTTTCTGGCGCTCACCTGGATTATCTCTCAATTTGAGTATGTTTTATTTCCACTTGCACTTGCCGAGATGCTGCGACTTGAATATAGAAACATAAAACACTAAATTGCCACTAATATGCCTAGATCCAAGTAACTGCACACTTGTAACTGAATGCAAATATGCATAAATAAATCAACTGGTGCTGTTCACTGATCGCGTCTAAGAAAATTCGAAAAATGGTGGGACAAACGATATTTTTGCGGCAGCGGCGTCAGCGCCAGTGTGCTGCAGCCCCGCAATGCTCAGTGTGTACACACCAGAGACGCTCAAAATAAATGTGTGCTGCCAATGACGATCACTTCTATCGATAGTTCTAGTTCATCGCTTAATTCAAAATGCATTTGTTGAACAGCAACGGAATGTGTTAATTCAAAAAAGTAAACAAAAACGTTTCAATGTCTATAAAATATCAATGGATTTTTCATAATGTTTTTACAAATTAACTTAATAATATTGGTCACTGTGTTTTTATTTATTACTGTTTAATGTCCAAAAACAAAAATGGTTAAAATAAAAGATTTGTTTTGGGTACAGTTGATTTCAACTATGGATAATTGCTAATTAAATTCTATTGATTTGAGCTAAAACTGCAAATAATAAAAGTTAAATGTGACTTAAACCAAGACAGCTATAAGAAATTTGTATATTCTGTTTGGGCTTCTTGTCTTGTCAATCATAAACAAAATTAAAAAAAAAGAACGCAAAAATTCATCTAGATCTATATAGATAGATATATGTAGGTCGTATAATAATAGTGCAAATATGTAATCGACCTCTTACAACATGTTTTGATTTTGCACGGAGCAGCTAATTGGCTAGTCAATTAAAAATCAAACCATGATCGCTCGAGGAAACAACAATTATTAACCATTAACACGAGATACTAGAGATTTGCTGTAGCTGGTCGCGCCTAATGTACACCTGTGGCAGGTTCAGCATGGTCAGGTCGCTGTCGATGAGGTCCAGCTGCTGCTCCAGCTGTATTTTGAGGTTCCGCACACGCAGCGTGCCCATTGAAATGGGCAGCCGATTGTATTCCCAGATGAGCTCCCGGTGGCGCGCCTGCGCCGCTTCCAGCAGTGCGATTCGCTGTGCCTCCGTCAACAGTACCTGATCCTGATCCTGGTACAGCCTGCGCTCGTTCTGGTCTGGCTTGAGCGGCTGCGTCGCTTCGCTGGCTGGCGTCGGCTCAGCCTGTGAGTGGCAGGAGGCATTGGTCCGTGCACTCAAAGACTGATCCAGCTGGGGCTCCGGCTCCACGTCCGTTATGTCCGGTATGGCCAGCTGCAGCACATGCGGCGCGGCTGCCCGTGCACCAATCGATGCGCCATCCTCGCCCCTATCGGCTGGCTGGTCCTCAACATCCAATTGATCCACTTGAGCGGGCACAGTGTCCACCACGCCGCCGAGCGGTCTATGTGGGGTGTGCTTCATTGACTGGTTGCCGCGTTGCGCGGGCACTGTGCCCAGCTCGAAATTGGATGCAGTGCGTCGCAGGCGGCTGGCATTGTTTTGGTCACAGGCCAAGGGGCTCGGTACGGGCAGCTCGTCGCCCTCGCTGTAGCCGCGCATGGATCGCGACGGACCCTGTCCATGTGCCTGCTCCGTGCACTTGAGAAGCGCTGCATTCAGGAACTGCTCATCGCTAATATCCTCCGTTTGTATTTGCTTCTCCGATCGCTGTCCGCCACCGTAGAAAGCTCGGCCCTGGCGTCCGCCATGGATGAGGCGACGCTGCGTCTCGACCAGCGGCAGCGTGCCCGATCGATGCGCCAGCGAAGCGGCTGTGGGCAGTTCATAGCTTGCCGGCGGCCAACGCCATTGCTCCCGCTCCCGCTCCCGATCCCGATCCAGGCGCCGCAGCGTCATCATCGGCGACTGACGGACCAGCAACCTGTTCTCGCGCAGAAAGTTGCGCTGTGTAACCTGGCCCATTGCGGCGGAACGTTTCATCCACATGATGAAAGCCGAAATGCAAAATATAAAAGTCGCAATGTACAAACGAATCAAATGTAAACAACAAATCTGAACAAAATTCAACTGGAAAATGAAATCTATTTGTGTATAACAGTTTGCCCCGACTGACTGATTGACTGACTGACTGACTGACTGACTGACTGCCTGATTGATCAGAGCTCAAGCCGAAGCTAATTGTGATATATTATGCGTGCACACCTAAGACAGAGCTTTCGCAAATTCCAGCAACAACTGCGAGAAAATGGCAACAAGAAATTAAACAAATCCGAGCTTCAAAGATCTTTGTGAAAGTTCATGGAGACGCGTTTCATCCTGTTGGACAAGTTCACCGACCTGGAAAACGGTGGTCAATGATTCAATCCTATATTTTACTTAAAAAATATTAGCCAAGCTTTACAACAAAGGATAATAACACCGAATGTCAATATGAAAATAAAAGGGCTACAGAGGTGGTCAATTGGTATTAAATCATTATCAGTAAAAACACAGTGACCTGAACTATTTAGTTCATTTGTAAAAACATTATGAAAAATGCATTGCTATTTTATAGACATTGAAACGTTTTTGTTTACTTTTTTGAATTAACACATTCCGTTGCTGTTCAACAAATGCATTTTGAATTAAACGATGAACTAGAACTATCGATAGAAGTGATCGTCATTGGCAGCACACATTAATTTTGAGCGTCTCTGGTGTGTACACACTGAGCATTGCGGGGCTGCAGCACACTGGCGCTGACGCCGCTGCCGCAAAAATATCGTTTGTCCCACCATTTTTCGAATTTTCTTAGACGCGATCAGTGAACAGCACCAGTTGATTTATTTATGCATATTTGCATTCAGTTATAAGTGTGCAGTTACTTGGATCTAGGCATATTAGTGGCAATTTAGTGTTTTATGTTTCTATATTCAAGTCGCAGCATCTCGGCAAGTGCAAGTGGAAATAAAACATACTCAAATTGAGAGATAATCCAGGTGAGCGCCAGAAAAATATCAACAATAATAATAATTCCACTAATAATATATGTTTTGCAATTGTAGTGCCCGATTGTAACGTAAAACCATGTCAGACTCTGTGGCCGTTGCTCTGCGCGTGCGCCCGCTGGTTAAGTCGGAGGTGGAGCGCGGCTGCCGCATTGCCGTGCAGCGGCCCGTGGATGGGATTCCTCAGGTGACCGTGAATTGCAGCGACTCGTTCACCTACAACTACGTGTTCGACAGCAGCGATTCGCAGCAGAATGTATACGAGACGTGTGTGCGGAGCAAGCTGAAGAAGCTGCTCGATGGATACAACGTGACGATACTCGCCTACGGCCAGACGGGCTCCGGCAAGACCTACACGATGGGAACTGCGTTCGATGGGGTCATGGATGATAACGTGGGCGTGATACCGCGTGCAGTGCACGAAATCTTTGAGGAGACGGCCGCCATGGAGGAGGAGTTCCATTTCAAAATCACCTGCTCCTTTGTGGAACTGTATCAAGAGCAGTTCTACGATCTGTTCTCGCCCAACAAGCGCGAGGACAGCACTGTTGACATACGCGAGGACAAGAACCGCATCGTCCTGCCGGGCCTCACCGAGGTCGAGGTGAAGCATGCCAAGCATGTCACCGACCAACTGATGCGCGGCTCCTCAGGCCGCGCTGTTGCCGCCACTGCCATGAATGAGACTTCATCCCGTTCGCACGCCATCTTCACATTGACTGTTATAACCACCAAAAAGACTGGCCAGTAAGTCGCGTAGTCGAGTAGTCAAGTGGCTAATCCCAGTTCCCTTCAAGTTGTTAATGTGCATTGATTACTTAGAAAAACAGTGACGACTTCCAAATTCAGCCTGGTGGATCTGGCGGGCTCTGAGCGCTGCTCGAAGACGCTCGCTTGTGGGGATCGTTTCAAGGAAGGCGTCAACATCAACAAGGGCCTCCTCGCGCTGGGCAACGTTATCAATGTGCTGGGCTGTAAGTAAAATGGGAGTCAAGCATCTAACTTAACTAATCTTATCACCTTTATCTATTTCTCCCTTTGCAGCTGGCCAAACGGCGGGCTATGTGCCCTATCGACAGTCAAAGCTGACGCGCCTGCTGCAGGACTCGCTGGGTGGCAATTCGATTACCCTGATGATTGCCTGTGTCAGTCCCGCGGACTACAACGTGGCTGAGACGCTCAGCACATTGAGGTATGCGGATCGCGCACTGCAGATCAAGAACAAGCCCGTCGTGAATATGGATGCGCATGCAGCAGAGGTAATGATGCTCAAGGACATCATACAGAACTTGCGCGTCAAGCTGCTAGCCTGTGGTGGCGGCGGCGATAGCAATAGCCTTGGCATTGACGGTCCCTGTCTGAACGGCTCCTCGGGGACGAACGAGCAGCGCTTTAAAGAGCAGTTGGAGCAGCTGCAGCAGGCGAACGCACGCATTGAAAAGAAGAATCAAAGGCTGCAGCAGGAGCTGCACCAGGCACTCATCGATCTGGCCGAGAATGAGATGCGTGCCCACATAGCAGAGGTCACACACGACAAGCTCAAAGCGCACGTGCTCGAGCTAAAGACGAAACTGACCGCGACGGCAATGCCCAAGGCTGCGGAGGAGGGGGTGCAGCAGGAGCTGGAAGCGGTGCCGACGGATCAGTCACAGCTCCTAGACACGAGGTGGCAGGAGCAGCTGCGCGAAATTACGCAGCTTGTGACGTGCGTGGACGAGGAGCTGCAGCAGACGGAAACCGCGCTGCAGACGCATCGCAAGGAATGCCTCAACGGCGGCAACAGCAGCAGCATCAGCAGCGAGGACTCCAACTTTGGCAGCGAGGAGACGCACGAGCTGCTGCAGTCGCGCGCCGAGGAGCACACGATGAAGCAGCTGAATCTGAACGGTGAACTGCGCAACATAAATCGCCAGCTGGACATTAAGCAGGAGCTGCACGACCGCGTTACGCGCAACTTTAGCAAACTCCAAGACGATGGCATCGACGAGAAGTTCAAGCAGTGCGAGCAGAAGATCGAGCAGCTGGAATCGGAGCGACGTGAGCTGATGGACCAGCTCCGTACCACCAAGCAAAAGGACACATCCGCCAAGCTGGCCGAGGAGCGGCGCAAGCGGCTGCAGCTGCTCGAGCAGGAGATTGTCGACATGCGTCGGAAGATCGTCCAGCAGGCAAATATGTTAAAGATGCGCGAAAAAGAGCGCGAAAAGATCCAGAACCTCAGCACCGAGATACGCGCCATGAAGGAGTCGAAGGTAAAGCTGATACGCGCCATGCGCGGCGAGTCCGAGCGCTTCCGCCAGTGGAAAATGATGAGCGAGAAGCAGCTGACGCAGCTCAAGAGCAAGGATCGCAAGATGCAGAGCGAAATGGCGCGCCAGCAGACGCTGCACGCAAAGCAGCGCCTGGTGCTCAAGCGCAAGTGCGAGGAGGCGCTGGCCACCAACAAGCGGTAATTTAAATTGAACGCTGGAGCAATATTTCGAAGGAAGGGAGGAATTAACTCTTGACTTCTTGCTTTCTGTTTTTAGGCTCAAGGATGCACTGGAACGGCAGAGAGCCGCGCAGGCGCAACGTCAGCGTCATGCCAAGGATCAGCCGGGTGCAGCCAAGCTGGATGCTTTGGTGGATCGCGAACTAGAGGTGATTCTCTCGCTGATCGACGCGGAGCACAGTCTGGAACAGCTAATGGAGGATCGTGCCATCATCAATGCCCACTGCTCGGAGATCAGAGCGCAGCAGCAGCAGGAGCCGGAGGCGCAGCCAGACGCAGAACAGGCTCAGCTACTGGCCAGCCTCGAGGAGGAACTGGAGATGCGCAATGCCCAAATAGCGGATCTGCAGCAGAAGGTCTGCTCCAACGATCTAGACAGTCGCATGGCTGCGCTATGCGACAGCGTCCAGAGCATAGGCGAGTCGCGTGCAATTAATAAGCAGCTGCTCAAGAGTCTGGTGCAGCAGCGGCGCGAACAGGCGCAGGGCATCATGGAGCAGAAGGTGCTGGTGGACGAGCAGCGCAGCCAGCTGAACGAAGCGCAGCAGCGGCACGAGGAGCTGACCAAACGCCTGCGCCAGGCGGAGCGAGAGCACGAGCAACTGATGGCTAGCCAGCAGCGCAGTTACGAGGAGAAGGTCGCGGTGCTGCTGCGCAGCTCGCATGCGCTGGGTGGCAGTGAGTCCCAAAAGCCGGAAGATCTGGAGCGCCAGAAAATAGTCGAGGAGCTGCTCAGCACCAAGGAGGCGCTGCAGCAGGAGCTCGATCGCATCAAGTCCAAACAAAAAGCGACAAAGAAGCCTCAGTCCGCCGATAACTCAGTTATCTTTCTAAACGAAAGCCTGCTAAGCGACGGACAGGAGGATTCAGACAGCGATCCCGACTGGGTGCCATTGAAGAAACGTTCCAAGGCAAGTGCCATGCCCAGAGTGCAGTCTATAGCTCCCCCACTCCACTCCGGCACTTGTTTGCCTAATTCTCGCAATTTCTTATTCACACAGAAGTCGCATTCAGACACCGCAACACTGGAAGCAGCCGCCGAGGGCGACAATCCCAACGGGAGCACTAGCGTCAACAACAATACCACCGCCAACAACAGCCTGCAGGGCTCCATAGACATGAGCTCGACGACGGATGAGACGCGCAAAGGAGCGAAGCGCTGCAAATGCCGCACGAATTGCAACACGAAGCGCTGCGGCTGTTTCTCAACAAGCAGCGGCTGCAGCAGCTCCTGCAAGTGCCGGGGCAACTGCCAGAATCCAGTCAACAATGCCGACAAGGAGAACTCCACGCCCGGCACAGCACAGAATATGACAGTTACGGTGAGCAGCGACGTCACGGAAGTCGAGGAGGATGCGGATGTGATCAAATCGACAGATCACACCAACCCCGGGCCGCTCTCCAGCCCGAACTCTGTGCTGGAGAAGCGTAACTCCCGACTGCCCAGGTCTGATTAAGAATTGATTTTCATAAGCAACGTTTTTATATAGATATTTCTCTCTTACAGAAACTCGGAGCTGCTCTTGCATACGCCCTCAACTAAACAGAAGTTCTTTTGAGCGCAATAGATATACATATATTGCTTTGTCTTAATCTTTTGCTTCATATACAGTTTTAATCGCAAGAGTTTTTATATGATTTTTTAAGCAAACTTTCTATTAATATTAGCATAAGCAGTTAGAAAAATAAACATTGTCAAACCAAATCGTGTTTCCTAATCTTCGCGCACTGGAACGAAAGAGAACGCGTCATTGTGCAAGAAAGGGATGGCAAGCACACGGTGCGATCGGAATGGGATGGTCCATCGAAACTGGCTGATCCTGCCTGCTCTTCAACTTAGCCATACTGAATGATAATATAATAATAACCGAATTCGAACTCCTAAAACAACGTTAACTAAATTAAGTCCTGTTTTATGAATACATTTGCTATATATATTTGTTTAGTATTTGACTCTTTCCGGTCGCCTAGAAAACCCTACAATGTACATCAATTTAAGATTCTTTACTAGCGGGCGTTAGATATTGATAACAAATTACCCGGCGTTGTTCGGTTTAATTGAATTGAATGGAATTTTAATAAAAGAAGTAAACGCTTTTCGAAAATATATAAGAACAGACTTTTCATTTTGAATGATTTTCAATAGTAGATCGATAAATATCGATAATAATATTTGAATGCCATCTATGTGGGTTGACAATTTTGATGAATGATTCGATAGAAACTACGGAATTGATTTAAAAACATATTTTCATAGTGCTAAATTGAAGGTAAGCGAAAACATTTTCAGTTTGCGGCGTATAAGGCTACAGGGTGCAGGCTACAGGGTAGCTCGTAGTCGGGCACTCTTCCCTAGATCACTCGGACTCGGAGCGTGGCAAAAACTTAACGTTTATGCCATCTCGGGAGCGCAACACCATTTGGGCCTGCAGGACCAGCGGCGCCTGCGGCTCGGCTAGCTCCAAGCGGAAACGCTCGACAATGCGAGCGGTGAGCAGCTTCATCAGCAGCAGCGAGTACCTGCGTCCAATGCAGACATGCGGGCCACCCGAATACGGTATATAGCTGTAGGGAGATGCCGCCGCTTCCGACTCCGTGTGCGCCGGCAGCCAGCGCTCTGGCCGGAACTCGTAGGGCTCCGGAAAGTAGCGTGCATCATGGGCCAGGCCGTACATATTGATCCAGAGCGTGACGCCGGCGCAGTAGCGACGCCCTCCAATTGTTGTCGCCTTGGTTGTCTGGCGCCCCGTGCTGGGCACTATGGTGTACATGCGCAGCACCTCCTTGAGCACCGCGTCCAGATAGCATAGCTTATGGAGCGCATCCAGATCCGCTGCGCCGCCGGGCGGCAGCTCTGACAGTTCCGCGTGCAGACGCTCCTGTGCCGACGGCTGCTTGGCCAGCGCGTACAGCACAAAGCCCATGGCTGCCGTTGTGGTGTCCACGCCCTGTTGAGATTCCAAAGGAGAGAGAGGGAGAGGGGGTGAGAGCGAAATGTAGGCGCCACTTGAGCGTGGACTCACCGCAAAGACAAACGTGTTGACCTCGTCGCGTATCTGGCGACGACTCAGCCCCGCCAGCAACATGGCATCCAGCAGGATGCGTGGCTTGGCCTGCGGCTCCGCCAGCTGCTCCCCACGTAGCTGTCTCTCGCGCTGCTGGATGACCCGCTCCATGAGCTCGTGTATCAGCTGCAGCTGGACGCACAGCTCGCGCCAAAGACGCGTGCGCCTGAACACAAAGTCGGAGGACAGCAGAGGATTGATCATTCGCTTGAACAGCAGCTCGCCGCTGCGATGAAAGGCCGCCACAATCTGCGAGTGCTCCACCAGCTGCGTATCCAGCCGATGTCCCATTGAGGTGTCTAAAAAAAAATTAAGTGTGCTGCAGTCGGGCGTGTTCACTAGGCGATACCCTGTGCCCAGCCCACTTTTTCCCTACTCCCAGCTCCGAATGCATTGCAGAATATGCATCGCTGTTGATTACCTTCGCGTGCTCCAAGTTCTGGGAAGCTATTCGAAAGGTGAACTATTTACGATCCGCCTTCATATCAAATGGTTCTCTTGGGTGCGGGGCACAGGGCATACATATGTATATTTAAAGTAAAGCACTCACCGACAATCGCATCCAGCAGGCAGGCAAACAGATGATCCGTCACCTCGATGGCAGCGCCGCCTGTCCGCTGCAGTCTCTCGAGCAGGCGATCCGCATGCGCCGCCACCTTTGGAGCAAAGCTGCGCAGCAGCTGTGGCTGAAGGGCCGGCGTGAGGAGGCGCCGCTGTGCGGCCCATTCGGGGCCATGGCTGATCAGCAGGCCGTTGCCAATGAGCGGCGAGAGCTGTTGGAATGTGGCCGCCTTGCGCAGCGTGGGATCGTGGAGCGCCTGGCGCGTCTCCTCGGGGCTGTGCAGAAAGACCCACAGCTGGGGGCCCACCCAGAGGCGGTAGGTGGCGCCAAAGCGTTCGCGCAGCTCTGTAAACACCAGAAAGATGACTGCGACAACAGAAGCTTCAGGGATTTGGACTGGCCTCTCAGCTGCTCAAAACTCACACTCTGGCTTCAGCTTGCCAATCATTTGGGCATTGCCCAAGCCGGGCAGGGCCCACGGCCCGGGCAGGCTGCTCCCCAGCTGCAGCAGCTGTCGCATGCGCCACAGCAACAGGCACAGCAACAGGCACAGGCACAGTCCCAGGCCGAGCAGCAACGACAAAAGCGCCATCTGTGCGTGACAAGCATTGAAATCCAATTGATTGAATGCCCGCGCAATTGGATTTCCAATTGGATTCGATGAGCACAATCAGTTGCTGATTGCCGCTAATCAGAATGCCCGCGCGCTGCTTGCGAATCCAATTGGATTTCGGTTGCAGATCAGTGCACGATTTAACAGCGCTGCAAATGCGCTTGGCAAATGCGGTTAAACTGTATTAGACGCCATAAATTGATATTTATTTATATGCTCTACATATGTATGGCTTCTAGTATCTAATCAGACGACAATTAACTTGGCCTTGGTCAACTGCAATCTGCTGCTGCTGCTGCTGCTGTGCAGTGGAAAGAAGCTCTAGAAGTGCTTCACAAATCTTATCAGATTCTGTTTTGGGGCGATTTATGTTAACGCCCATAAGAAAGCAATGTAATCTAATTAGATTTGCAGCCAACGGTTGAGTGTTTGAAATTGGGCCAGTGTTGCCACCGTGCAAAAGATTGGCAGCTCTTTAACTGCCTGTTAACTAACATGAACTTTGTCAGAAGGTTAAAGATCAATTGGCAAATTAATTAATAAGCTATATCTTATGGAATTAAACTTGAACATATTGTATGTAATAATGTTTATTCAATAATATTTGTATGTATTTTTCGTATGTATGTATATATATTCTGAAATTTGCATTTCTCTTCTAATATGCAGACACATAAATTTGTAATAATTATTGTTGTTATCCTTTGGTTTGTTTTTTTTTTTTTTAAATATTTTTTTCTCTCTTCAACAGCTATGCTCGTAATGTTCTTGTGGCTTCGTTTTATTGTTGAGAATTGTTACATTTGCCTTATGCAATTGTTTTTTTAACACATAGTTGCTTTAACATTTACAACGATTATAATTTGCGCTTCTATTTGATTTGATTCATCGTTACGTTCATATATACCATATATGGTTTCTTTAAAGCTACAATAACTCATTTTTTCTTTTCTAAAATATCGTTTTGTTTTTTTTTTTGTTTGTTTTTTATTCATTTCACTTGTTTTTTTCTGTTGTGGGTTTGTTTACGTCGTTTACCTTTGGTTGGTTTTGTGTGTTCTTCGATTTTAACAATATTTCGATAGTTATACAAAAGTTAAATATTTCTCTATATATATGTATATGTATATCTATATATATAAAGGGCTTTCTTCGTATTCGCATATTCGAGATAAGAGCTATTTGCAAAAGTAATTGAATTTTAATTAAATATTCTGTTGTATATTTTTAGCATGTGCGTTTCAATACGAATTCAATATCAATATATTTCGATAATCCAATAATTCGATTAAATCTTTTTATTTTTTTTTTCTTTTATATTTCGTTTTATATTTCGTTTACGGATTATAAAGAATAAACGGCATAGACTCGTATAGCTTATGCCGAATTTGACTGCCCGATCGATTTTCGCTCACAATTGTTATCGATAATTGAGAATCATGCTCCCGATAACACGCATCTATTTGATTTCACTTGCAGTCGAATATTTGTGCGTTAAGAAAAAGCGTGAAATTGCTTAGATACGGATTTCGGGAACATGTCTCCAAAAAACAATTTTGCTTAAAAAATAGTTTTAGAATATTTGCCTTTACTATGGGATCTAAGAGATCATTAAACAATTTCTTTTTTTTCGCGCAAATTTTAAGTATTTCGAATTTGTATCGTTTTTTTTGTTTTTTTTTTTCGATTTTAATACAATTGTAACTTTCTAATTAGTAAGATAATAAAGCGTTTTCCTTACTTGGTGTTTGGATTGCTATGGTAGTTAGTTGTTGTAAATCTTTTGTTGTTGTTGTTCTATCTGTTGTTGTTCTATCTGTTGTTGTTGTTGGTTTTGTTTTAGTTTAAACTCCTTTGTAACTCTCGCATCATTGCTTAAGTAAATATATATATATATATATGTATATTTAATAATGTATATAGTTAAGCGTTTGTTAATTGGTGTTTTGAATAGATTTATTTTCGTTATTTAAATATTTATTTAGAACTTGTTTTGATTTGTTTCCATCGATTGAGTATATTTGGTGTTGTTGCTCGGTTGTGCTTTGACATTGCGTTCCTTATCCTGTTATTGTAGTTAATCGCTTGCAGTTCCATTTCCATGTTCCAAATGCCGTTATCCATGTTCCAGATGCCATGTTCCATGTTCCATGTTCCATATATTCAGCGTATTTCATTCGTATTAGCAAAAATCTCAATTATTATAATAAAAGCCGGGCGTTTGCCCAATAAACCACATATTTGCAATTTATATGAATTCGATACATAATAATACCATATAATATGTATATGTATATATGTATGTATATCTATGTATATATCGGTGTGTATATGTATATGTTCGTGTGTTCAGTTTAAAATAAATGTATATACGTTACATTCGAGTCGAGAACTAAAACTAAGGCTAGTACAGCTCCATTAACAAACACGAGAGCGAAGAAGCCAGGCTTCAGCATTACAATTATTCGATAAGAACTAGCTATGAGTGTATGAACGGGTTTCTTTTTCTTTTTTTTTATAGAAAATACGATTAAGTTGATTTTTTGGTTTTTTACTTTTTTACTAATATATTTTTGTTTGTATATGGCTGTATAAATAAGTAACATGCAGGCATATACGAAACAACAATTGCATCGAGAATTGCTTATAGGAAATCTTTGGATTGGGGCGAAAACATAGCCTAACTTGTCTTAAAATCAATGATCAATATATGAGTTTTGGAAGGTTCGCCATTAAAGCATAATATGCACTTGGTTCGATAGTTTCGCATCTCTATATAAGGTAGTCTAAGATCGCAATTTGGTAACTAATATTAAAGTTAGTTCTATTTTTAGTTGCTGAACACGTTCGTGCTTATTGTTTCATCGTTGCTTTTGCCGTTATTTTGCTTTTGTTTTCTTTTTGCTTTTGCTTTTGGTTTTATTTTTGTTGCTTTGGTGTTTTGTCGTTTCAGATCTGCGTTTGCTATTGCTTTTGCTTTTGCTTTTGTTTTTGTTTTTGTGTTTATTTGTTATTTGGTTTTTGGGCTTTTGGTGTTTTGTTGGTCAATCAGTTTGGTTACGCTCGTTATAAGGCCTGATGTGATTGTAAGTGTGGTACTCAACTGAAGCGTAGCTGAATATAAATACATATATGCTTAGAATTGAGGTAATTTGAAAATTGGCAGCGGCGCTTGTTAGTGTGAAATGCGGCAACAGCGCCTAACATTTATTGCTCAACACTGAGAAAATAATCATAAAAAATGTAAAATCAATCAAATAAAAAGAAATCAAATAAAATGTTTGTTGTTGTTGTTTTTTTTGGTTTTTTTTTGTTTTTTTTTGTTTAAATTATTTCATAAAAAATATTTTATTTTTGTGTATAAATACAAATGTAATTTGTGTTTTCGCTTTGTTTTTTGTTTTTTGTTTTCTTTTTTTGTTTCTCTGTTTTCGTTCTGTAAAGACAATAACAATTAAAGCGCTTACAAAAAGCAATCAAATAATATTTTAATTAAATTACAAATTTCGGTTTTCATTTATGTAAATTGATTGCTCAAAATGTTTTCTCTGTATGTATGTGTGTGTGTGTGTTTGTTTGCGAGTAAAAAATCGCAAAAAGTTTGTCGAATGTTTACAAAAATCAAACAAATTTAAGACAATCATGTGTGTGTGTGTGTGTGTGTGTGTGTGTGTGTGTGTGACATACCTAATGCTTTAATATTGCATATTAACTTGGCTTACATTTCGCTTTCCACTTACAAAAATAATAGCACACACACACACACACACACTCACACACACACACACTCACACACACACACACTTATAAACTTAAAGCGTACAATTACGACAAAAAAAATATGTATATTTATAATTATAATAATTATATAATAATAATAATATTAATGCCTAAGTTGATTATCATTTAAAATGTAACACAATAAATTTGATAAGTTATATTCGTACGTACGTAAAATTAAAGCAAAATACAATATTCAAACAAAGAGAGAGAAAGAGAGAGAGAGTGAGAGAGAATACAGATGCAAATAAGAATGTTAACAGAGTGTGTTAACAGTTGGGGCACAAATACATATGCGCACATACATATGTGTGGAAGCAAACAACATTTAATGTGGGATTAGCTGCTGGCTTGGCGCTTGGCTTTTCGCAGAGAAGGGAATAGAGGAGTGGGGATGGGGCAGGGATGGGGGGATTTAGACAATTTAAAAGAGGTTAACAATAAACGTTGCCAATGCAACTATTTTTGCACATAATCTTCTTAAACTAGTTGCATACATTTAAGCATACGCTATTATCATTATCAATATTAAAAAATTATTAACTATATATCTTTTCAGACAAGGCATATTTGACAGAGTTGCTTTTTGTTGCTTCAATAAGTGTTGTTCGTGTATGCATGTGTATGTGTGTGTGTGTGTATGTGTGAGAGTGTGCTTGTGTGTGTGTGTGTATTTTAATTGCCTTCAAATTGATTTCTTATGCGCTTGCCGCTATTCTGTTCTATGCATGGTCTGTTATACTAGGCTAATCTGTTCTATTTTCTGTTCTATTTCGGTTCTCTGTTCTCTGTTCTCATTCTGTTCCGTTTGACGCCGTTATTTGAATCACAATCAACGCTTATTTTTCTTTTAATTTTTCTTTTCGTTTATCAACACTTACAACACTAAAACAATATGCTCCGGCTTCCGTGTGGCCGGTATTATATCATGATTATAGATCATGGATCATCGATCATATATCAAATATTTTAAAGATCAGCTTTTAGTCTGGTGCTGCTGCAGCCCAGTTACAAATTTCGTTTTCTTTTTCTTTGCTTTTCTTTTCTTTTTTCTTTTAACAACTACATACAAACATGGCTGAGGGGGGGGGGGGGGTGGTTGGTTTGGCGGTGTTGATGATAGGGGGACACACTTAAAATTTAAAGCGAGACATAAACACACAAAAAAAAACAATTAAATTAAATTAAATATATATATAGACGCATTTAAAAACAATGGGACACACAACAACGGACAAACAATTGGGATATTTTAAAATATAGGTATATATGTGTAGGTTTTTAATATAAAAAAAAAAATTAAGAGTTTAGAAATCGTTTTTTGCGCTCTGCAGAAACAGGTCGGGTAAGAAGAAGTGAGTGCGTGCGTGCGTGCGCGTGCGTGCGTGCGTGCGTGCGTGCGTGTGTATGTGTGTATGTCAAATGCAGCTGCATATCGAAAATGAAAGTGCGCGTATTTAGAAATTCATTTGTCATGTCTTGCGCGGCGGCGTCGGCGGCGGCGGCAGCGCTGGCGCAGCAGCAACATAGGCAGCGTGCGGCTGCCTTAGACTGTTCATGTCTTTGGGAATGTTTTTGTATTTGGCTGAAAGACGATGGGACTGGTGAGCAACTTGAGTAAACCGCCTGGCCGGCCCTGGCCCTGGCCCTGGCCCAAGACCTGCTTCTGCTTACCTGCTGCTGCTGCTGATGCTGCTGCTGCTGATGCTGCTGCTGCTGTTGCTGCGTCGTGCAACTGTTGCTGCTGCAGTTTAAGAGCTGCTAGCGAATCGCTATAAAAATTTGACTTGCGCATGTTGCTGCCGTTGCCGAGAATGTTGCCATTGCCGTTGGCATTGCTGCTGCTGCTGCTGCTGCTGCTGCTGACGACGCCGTTGCTGTTGCTGCAGTAGCTGCCGCTGTTGCCGCTGTTGCCGCTGCTGCCGCTGCTGTTGTTGTTGTTGCTGGCGCCCAGCGGCGGCAATGGTGGCTGCAATTTGGCGGCATGCTTATTGCCCGCATTCGCTGCTGCTGCTGCTGCTGTTGCCGCAGTCAACGGTTCCGCAACTGCTGACTTACACGAAACTAAGCTTAGATTAGAAATTGCTGGTGGTAGTGGAGATCTTTGTGAATCATTGCCAATTTCGCCGGTATACCTGCAAGACAAACTCATGTTAATATTACCGCAACACACACACACACACACACACACTGGAACACTCACTTGATGTTGGTGTACTCGCGCCCAACCTGGATGCTCTGCTCCTCGGCCCGCTTGCGCGCGATCAGGGTCTGAATGTAATGCTGCACCGCATAGTAGACGAACTTGTACTGGGCCTCTGTCTGCACCATGCCCGAGCGCTGCGAACGCACCATTTGAATAGTGCGTTGGATATCGATTTCAGTGTCCAAACCTGTGATATATAAATATATGTGTTAGATAAATTAATATAAATTATATTGTACAAATGCATAGATGAATATCGTTCGTTTATTCGTTTTACACTTTTCAAATACTGTAAGATCCTTTGCATTTTTCTTCTATATGTCAATTCGTAACAGATCCGCTAACATTCTAACATTGCTTTAAGCAGCTGTTAGTGTATACTAACATTAACACATTTTACATTAAGATGTTAGCTCATAACAGCTCTGCTAATAACATATACTGGGCAGCTACATATGTTGCGCTGTTACTGTAATGTTAAAATGACATAAATTGAGATAACATTTGACTAACAGCTCTGCAACGGTTGCCGTAATATTTATACTTTATGTTAGCATATGTCTTACTGTCCCTACCCCTCGAAAGTGAAGTAAATTAAATGTTTTTTACATTTTATACACTCATCGCTGCATGATGTTAAGCCGCCGTAGCAGAGGTTAAACAGCAACTAACGCCTGTTATATAGCCTTCCTAACTGTTTATAAACAAACTTTTAGGCATATTTAAAGCAAATATCATAAAATTAACATTAACCGATCTATGTTAAGTTCCGTAACTGTAACATTTATGCTGCTAATAAAGCAGTCAATGTTAATGGGTGACATAGAGCTGTTAAAGTGGATGTTATGCTATTTATATACTGCTTACCATTGCGCACTATCTGATCCAGAATCATGTCGATCACAATAAATGTGCCTGTGCGTCCGATGCCCGCCGAGCAGTGCACACAAATGGGACCCTAAGAAGGAAGAGAGACGGAGAGACGGAGAGAGAGAGAGAGAGAGAGAGAGAGTGTGAGTTTCGATAATGAAAATAATCTGATTGTGTATTTTGTTACTTACCGGCTTCTCGCCGGCCTGGGCCAGACTGCTCTGTTTGGTGTTGACATCCTGCAGGAAGTTGAGCACACAGCCAGGATCAGCAGGCACGCCGTGATCGGGCCACACTTGGAAATGATAGTGATAGATGCGTCGCTCGGGCTTGTCGCGCCACGAGAAGAGAAACTCGCGCAGCGTATAATCATTGGTAGAGTTCTCCTTGATGCAGTGCACCTTGGCGTGACCGAATTGCTTGCATTGCCCCTCATCGGGCCAATAGCGTTCGCACTTGGTTTTGCCGCGCTCAATTTCCTTGGTGGTCATGACAATGACGCGCGTATTCTCCTGCCAGATCATGTTCCAGAAGTCCGTCTTCGTGTTGGCCAAGCAGCCCTGGGTCGCGATGTACGTCTTGAACAGATTTCCCTCGCCATTCAGCAGTGAGCCCGTCAAGGGGCCGCTGCACGATGACGATGTCGATGGCGGCGGCGAGGCATCTCCGCAGTGCTTCTTCAGCAGCACAGCCAGGCACCCGTTGAGAGCCGCCGCTGCCGATGTGTTCCCAGCGGCGGTCGGCGTTCCCGGTCCGGTGCCCGCTGCAGAGGCATTCGCCGAGGCTGACATCGATTCGCTGCGCTTGTGCTTGCTCAGCGAATCCGATTTGCGATTGCAGGTGGCACAGTTTGTGGGCAGCGTGGCCGATTTGACCGCACACTTGACACACGTCTTGTTCAGCAGATGACAGTTGGGGCAATTGCGTTGCGTTTGGGCTGCGGTACAGGCCGGACACGCGGCTACCGTGCTATTGAGGCTCTCCGAGGAGCTGCTCATGTTATAGAGATCGCCATCGGTGGGTAAACGTATATAGTTGGCGTTTATGTACTCGGCGCCCGGTGCATTCCGCTCCACATCCTGCAGCTTGACGCGCGTGTGATCGTCTGCAAAGAAGGGGAACGAGAGGGGACGAGACTAGTTAACAAACATGCATCTAGAGCGTAGATGGAGCATTTGCTTACAGGGCAATATGTTGCGGTAGCGATTCTTTAGCCGATTCTCATCCTTGTAGCCCTCGTGGCGCGAGAATGTGTCACGACTGTCCTGTTGCAGCGACTCAAACTCCTCCCAGAAACCGCCCTGCCGTAAAGGAGGAAGTGAAGTTACGTTAGTTTCGATCTTTCCTTCTGCTATTGACTGATCAACTATCTGACTTACCTTTACCAGCTGTTCAACTCGTGCATTGATGCCAGCGGCTGTTATTCGCGTCGCATTGAATGGTTGGCGCAAATGCACCACTGTGCCGCAAGTCTCCACCATTGGATGGCGTTTGTAGTGCTCGATCAGTTCCGAGAGGGTTGCAAACGATTCACCACCGCCAACGTCGTACTTTTTATCCTGCAACAGATAATGTGAAGAATCAGTTGAAAGCAGTTCTCTCATCCAATTACTGCTTAAATGTTAAGAAAGCAGTTCACTGACGATGTTGGCTAACATTGGCATGTTAACTAACGGTCATCAGTGTTAAATGCATACTGATGACAAATAGCTATCGATCGAAGAGCCTGTGATACATCCTACTGAATATCACTGCCGATATACGACTACCGAGAATTTAAGACTTTAATGTACACAAATGGATGCAAATTATATAGATATACACAGATCAAATTTTAATATTCTATGAAAAGAATATATTAATATATATAGTTATTCCTAAAGCACGCTTTGTTAAGTTCCTGTCAAAGCTCTTTCAGCTCCCAACTAAATGTTTAACGGAAAAATGCTGCAATTAACAGCCTTGAAAATTACAAGAAACATCAGCATACCCTTAGCTGGCTGCCTAATTCTAGGGTAGTCGCTAGCAACTTGAGCTGTAGCAATAAAATCGAAATTGAAAAACGCTACAAAATTAGCTAATAAAAGTGCAAACGTGACCGCAATGTCAAATTGAAGTAAAGCCCAACCGGTCATGTAAATCACATTATTCCAAATGGCGTCAAATAGCAACAGCCACAGCAACAGAAAACAAACAACAACAACAACAACAATCAATAGTTTTTGTGGGGATTTACTGTAGTTAGTATATTACAATATGCCGTTTAGAATTCAGCAAATTGACAAATACATGGGATTGTCATGTTTAGGGGGAGCAAAATATAAAAAATCCCATGCCTACATTAGTTTTGAAGTACATTCTGATTATTTTTCTAAATCTGTGTAAAAAATATAATCAGTTTCTAAAAATAAATTAAATAATTTAGGTTAGCTGTAAGTCCCCGATAAGAAAAGATTACTATGAAAAAAAAAAACATGACTAGTTAAAGATATGCTTGCTATAATGCATGCATTGTGTTTTTTGAAGGCATGTAAATCCCACAAATGAATCGGGAATTTCTACATGTATAATTATTTAAACTTTCAGCAATTAATCAAGGCAACTAGCTAACTGAGCGAGTAGTCATAATGTTGCAAATATATTGACAGGATAATAAATTAGATCAGCTAATTAAGTCTGTAAATAACATAGCCTGATCAGAGCAATATAACAGAGACTTAACAGTTGTAAGCCTGTTGGCAAGCAGTGCGCTGCTGCAGCAACATTATCGGCAGTTCCTTGAATAACGGCGACTTGGCAGTTGCCTGCCTAGGTGCCAAGCAGTGCACATATGAAAGCAGTGCATTTGAGTATTACGCATACGCCACCAGCGCGAAATAGGCGTGAAACAAAATTATTGAAATGTGATGACAATAACCAAATATGTAAACACAGCTAAGTGCATTTACAGCACACACACAGACTGAACACATACACATGCCGCTGACACATGCCTGTATATATATATATATACATGTATATACATATATGCAGCTACACACAACTAATTCAAGGTCAAGCGATGAGGAACTTTACGGCCAGTCAGTCGTCATTTACATTACTTGTCTTGGCTATTATTGTTGTAGTTTCTGCTGTGTAGTTAGTAGTTGTTGTCGAGCACACAAATCGATTTGCATTTGCATTCAGTATTGGCCACTATTAGTAAGAACAGCACTTGGGGGCAGCAGGTCGAGCTGCTGTCAAGTTTTGGCACTTACCTGCCATCTAATCATGACATGCGTCACTTTATCGTCTGTACGCACGGATAGGACAAAATCACCAGGTTTACTTTGAGATTCACGCACGAGAAATGAACCATTCTTGCCACGCTCCAATATCAATTTTTCAGCTTCTTTGCCAGAAAGATTGCCGTGAAACCATCTGCAATGATAAATAAAAAATTAAGTAAATGCATATTAGACTATTTAGTTTGTTGCCATAAGCATTATCAATTTGTATAGTTACGCGTGTATTTAGCTTAAGCAGCTGTTTCCGACTGCAGCTAACCGACTGACTGACTGTCTGACTGCCACTGACTCCCGCTGGACTGACTCGGTAGCTGGCCGGCTGACTTTTGTTGTACGTGCGCGCTTGAAATGCGGCTATGAACTGCACAAATTGCAGGCATGTGTGCCAAATGACAGCAACAGCTCAAAACGATGCCGACAACAGCGACGAGCAACCAGTAGGAAATCAAACACGAATACACGAATACACAAAAACGAAAACGAAAACAAAAACGAATACAAATCGAATTCAATCGCATCGCATACGAGCGCAAAAATGCACAACACCAGCAAAATGCGAAGAAAACAGACAAATGCAAGGCAAACAGCAACAACAGCAACAACGACAAAAGTGCAAGTTGTTGCTGTTGCTTTGAGCTAACGTATAAGGCTTTAACGTTGTCGCCTGGCCAGGCCAGTTGGACATGGACATAGACTAAATAAATGTGCTTATATATAAATATATACGTGTATATATATATATCTATATATGTATATATATGTATATAAATGTGCATCTATGTACGCAACAGCCTTAAACAGTTGACACAGAAAGCAAGAGCCATCAAAAAGTTGTTGCTGTTGCTGGCGACGTCTAATTGAAAGCTATTTCAAATGCACTGCTTGACAAGTGGCGCCGACAGCGCCAAGCAGTTCCGATGGCAAGCAGTGCGAGGCGTTGTCTTGCTGGAAATGCTCTATTAGAAAAGAATATTCGGTTTGTGCAGAGCATACGCAAATAATTTCTTATTGCCACGCCTTTGTTGCTTTCCACCTGGCTCAAGTTTAATTTTGACTTATATCAAATACAATTTTTAAGATGGGTTAATTTTTGTTGATGTTTTTCGTGTGGTTTTACGTTTTATAAACTAGTTATGCACACTAATTTGAGCCAGTCACAAGACAGTTTACAGAGTATCTCTTTTCAGCTGTGGTTCTGACACCTTCGGATTTGTTTTTTGTTTTGTTTTTCATTTTTTGCTGTTGCTTAAATTGGCTTTGAAATTTGTTTGTTGTTGGCTCGCAGCGCTTCTCATTTGCATAAATAACACTAACTCAAAAAACTTGCTTTGAATTTGAATGCGAGCAAGACAGTACAAAACAGAACAGAACAGAACAGAATAGTAGAGTAGTATTCAGAAATTTAAGTTTCAGTTTCAGTTTCAGTTAGTCGAATCAGTTGTAGTTGTTATGGCCGGAGTCAACGTCATCTAGTTTTTAGCACTTGTAGAGTTCGACGGCATCTCGTAAATCGAGCAGAGGAGAGGCACACACAATAAGCCCACAAATCAATCGCATTTGTCCTTAAGCCGGTTTCAATTTAACTGCCCGCCTGTTCTCTCCATTGCTGTTGTTATTGATTTTGGGGTCATAGTTATCATAAAACACGGCTGCGAACTCATGCCTTATGTCTAAGAGCGTGTGCAAGCATGCATATTTATGTAGAGAGTAGTTCCCCTCCTCTCTCTAACGATCGATTATCGATTCTATCTTCCGCATGTAAGTATGCGAGTGCTATTAATAGCTATAAAGTCATATAAATAATTGACTTTACATTAGATCGTAGGCTCACACAGATATATGTACATATGTATGTGTATATATACATATATCGTGCATTTCAATGTCTGATCGTTACATATTCAAGGTGTTTCGGCCGGAATGATAGGGATAAGAGTTCGTCATGTTTATGTTATTTTTAGCACCGGAAATGGCATTGAATCGACACTGTCGATAGTTCGATTAACGATAGTTTTGTAATAAGTCGTACTTATCCAGGCAAATTGCAAGCTCATCCAAGCTATTAACTTAATAAAGTTGTCATTTTGGCATCATTTTGGCATTATTTTGCGATTTGTTGCTGATGTTTCCCAAATGCAAATGAAACATGAAATGCATGCCAAGCGCTTGCGCAACACTGGCCAATGGCTAATGCTGCCACAGCAGTCAGCTTTCTGTCAGCGAGCGGAATTTCTGGCAGCTCTCTGGTGCGTAATTTCCAGAGGATTCATACTTCGACAATCTCTAACGTCTGTCGACTATATAGTATATCTATATCTACATATATATATATATATATATATATCTATATATATTATGTATGTATGTGACTGCGCATTATTTAAATTTCTTGTTTTTGTTGATTTGTTGCTGTTGCCGTTGTTCTCTGTGTTTTTGCACTGTGATTCAACACAATCGACTTGGCTTTTGGGGCAGCCGCCGCCAGCAGCAACCAGTCAACAGTCAACAGAGCAATTAGCACCTTTCTTAGTGTCGACTTTTATTGTATCTAGTATAGCTTTTATTCCTGGCCGACTGGTGGCTAAAGCAGATGCGTTAACGGCATAACTGTTTAATTTCTCAGCTGCAATTACTTTTCACTTTAATAAAACGTCGTTTTTTATTTGGAGACTTTCATCAAGTTGGTTTCTGGCAGCACAGACTGTTGTGAAATTGCATGTATACCCTGTAAAAGAGGGCCAGTTTAATCTGCTGACAAGATCTGGCGGCTTTAGCATTTTATAGGGCATCTGCAAGTCGTGCTTTATGCAGCCATGACCGTTGCATTATTACAGTTATTACAGTTACGCACAGGAAATCAGCTGGACAGGAATTGTATCTCGAGCATCTTAAAGCTGAACCTGTTGGCCATTCATGAAACGCTACCAAAAAGGTCAACAAACAGCTCAGCGCAAAAATATATTCACATAATTATGTATACACACACACACACATATATGCATATATATATATATGAATATTTTTGATAAACAAATATATCGTACATCGCATAAATTAACATTTGTCACAAGTTGATAATTTTGTGTGCCAACGCACCTGCAAAACGAGCTGCGAGTCAAGAGCTCAAATCTGACAACTGGAGGCTGGAGGCTGGACATATTTTGGTGTAGACTGTACTCTAGCTGACGAGAGGGGGAGGCAGTGGAGTGGGGTTGGTGGGTTGGTGGGTTTGGTGGTTTTGGGGGGTTGGGGGGGTTGGGCGGTTGGGTGGTCTGTTCTCGCTGAAGGCAATTTCCATTTCAAGTGCAGGCTGTAAGCTCGTAAATTTAATGGCCCTTTACAAATAAGGCGGGCATTAAAACTGATTCCATGGCATGCCGTAACACAGCAAAAAAGAAAAGCCAGAAGTCGCTCGACTAGCAGATACCCTAAGCCCAGGCAAAGGTTGAGTTTATCCTATACACATAGACACATCTACATATAGACAGGCATATAGTATATTATATATATTTCCGCTCGGGATATATGCAATCTTGATTAACTTCGGTGCTTATGATCCGATCTTTATTCGTTTTACATTTTCAGCTCTCGCAAGTTCGTTCGAACTTTGCGTAATAAGTTCAACCAACTTTATATAAGATATTTCAAGATCAATATTAATCGATATTATGGAAATAAATGAAAGAAACGTTGGAGAATGCCTTCTGCCAATATACCCCTTTTGCCCATTTTCAATTTTCAATGCGCAGAGATCTCTCCGAGCTCTGCTCGTAGCTCGGTGAACCCGCTAGAGTACACAAAACGTGGGGCTAGCCCCACGATAAATGAAACACAAAACGAAAAAAAAAGCTCATTAAATTAGTTTTTTTTTTTTTTTGCATATTGAATTTTGCGCAAATTAAAACATTTATTTATTTGCTTAGCAAAATCATATTAAGCCAACAACAACAAGGAAAACCCTGTGGCAGTTGTTGCTGTCGTTTTGCAATGCATTTAACGGAAATATGCAAACAAAAAAAAAATAAATTAAAAATAATAATAATAAATAAACGAAAAGAAAACACAGCCCGCAACCATTAAAAATTCGCGTAGTTAGTTAACAAAATGTAAAACAATTTACATTTGACAGACTGCACTTGAAGCTGTCAAGCAAAACCAGCCAAAAGGGGGGGGGGGAGGGTGGAGGGTGGTGGAGGGCAGTTAAAATGGGGGGCTGTTGGCATTAGGTTGGGCACACTGTGTGCACGCTGTTAATTGGGACACGCCGCACTCTAACGGTAAACAGCGAAATGGCCCACTGTGTGTGTGTGTGTGTGTGTGTGTGTGAGGGGTGGAGAAGGGGGGGTGGGGGTGGGGGGTTGGAGTGGGCTAAAGCTGTTCGTTTAATCAACTGATGGCGATTACGGAAGCACCATAAAGTGACCATGGAGGTGACATGGAGTGTGTAAAAGTGAACGTGGAGGTGAAAATGGTATGTTTATTATTTGGGGCAAAATTATTTGGGAAGAGCTGTTTATAATATCTACAGTTTCTATCGAAAAGTTGTAAAGAAACAGCTCAAAGGAACCGATAATTATCGTAAAAAAATCTATCGATAAATAGTTTTGAATATCAATTCTTTTATTAGAATAAAAGTGAACATGGAGGTGAAAATTGTATGTTTATTAATTGGGGCAAAATTATTTGGAAAGAGTTGTGAATAATATCTAGAGTTTCGATGGAAAAGTTCTAAAGAAACAGCTTTAGAAGAACCGATAATTATACGTAACGAGAATCTATCGATAAATAGTTTTGATTACGATTTCTAATGTAGAACAAAAATGAACATGGAGGTGAAAATTGTTGTTATTTTAGTTGGGAGGAATGCAATAGAGAAACTGATAATTGTAACAACAGATTCTATCGAAAATTCATATTGAATGCTGATTTTCTGTAGAATAAAGTGACCATGGAGTTGATATTGTGTCTTTTGATGTTCAAGGCAGCAGCAGTTGAAGAACTGATATTTATATGTTTAGAATCTATCGAAAACTAGTTTTAAATTCTGTTTTTTCTGAAAAAAAAAAATTGACCATGGAGGTGAACATTGTATTTTTAGGCTGGGACAATAATAAAAGAGTAAAAAGAGTCTGTTTGAGAAACCTGGCCGATATACAAGAAATACAAGATGGCAGTTAGAATAAAGTGACCATGGAGGTGAGAAAACTGTACTTAGGCTGGTTAAGTTCCTGTAGAAGAACTGTGTGGCCTTTAGAAGAATGCAAGGAGTTTAGCATTATGCCCAATAATGTCACATATGTACATACATACATACATACATACATACATACATACATACCTACATACCCACATAACTACATAACTACATACCTCCAAACCTCCAAACATACGCCTCCTGCTCCGCCCCATTGGTGCTCCTCCGCCATCCTCCTCCGGCTCCTCAGCTTCCAGCGTTGAAGCCGCCTGCACCTCATTCATAGGAGAAGCATGCAGGCCTTACTTAGATTTATGAGAATCGAGGAGGAGGGCAGCCTTAATAAATACGTTTTTCTTATTTAAATTTGCCGCGCAACAAGACAAATTGGTCTGCTATTGGTATTTTATAAGACAATTTACATGCATACATACATACGCACACACATACACACACATTCACACACCCATACATACATACAAAAATATATCAACATATACATAGATTAATTTATTCATACATGCATGCATATATATACACATTCATACATATGTACATACATATATACAAAATCAATTTGGCATCTAAATCGGACAACATTAATTTTGGTCGAAATTCAAGTGATAAAATGGTACCCTCAAACATCCTATATAGACATAGGTCAAAATTTCCCAACCCCATAACTTGGTCAAATCTCATCAGATTTGCACGAGCTTTGGCTGTTTGTTCATGGTTCGTCCATTATTCTAGTATATACACACATATATATATATATATATATATATATATATATATATATATTTGCGTATCGAAAGCAAGCGAGAATGTGGGCTAATAATGCCACAAAGTACTTGGCACTAGCTGTATCAAATGATGCTTCTTTTTTTTATCTAATGCAAAAGAGTTTGCACACACACACACACACGCACGCACAGACACGTGTGTGTGTGACTGTGATTAACACAAACAGCGACGAGACGAGACAGCGCAAAGAATTGAACGCGACATCTGTGGTTGGGATTGGCAAACAAAAAGATAAGCAAAGAGTTTGCACAGCATTGTGGGGGGGGGGGGGGGGGGGCGTGTTGAGCCTGCGACAGATAGAGTTCCCGGTACGTTCTGTTTGTATCTGATTTATATAGCCGCCTGTGTGCTCAGCTATTTACGAGTGAGCGGAATTCGGTGCGCTAAATGGCGTGGATTATTTCATTAGAACTTCGTCGCAGCACGCAGCCTCTAAATGCAAAAATCAATAAGAAATGAAAAGATTAAAAACAAATCCGACAGAGAGCTCGACGAGCAGATGCCCTGTAGGCCAATCAATAGGCAACGAATTTCGGCACTCTTGCTGATTGACAATCAAATTGATTGAGCAACAATTGATTGACTATCGAATTGATAAGCACAACATTTAAACTAATTGTTGGATTAGGGCTCAGTTTAATCAGTTGCTAAATTATGTGTATCAAAAGTAAGAATATTAAGAGATGATAATAGGGCGAGAGTAGAGCAGCTTGAATTGAGTAGAAATGACATTAAATAAGAATTAATGGACGACTTTTGAACCCAACAAATTCTCAGAGAAACCAACAAACACAGCGCGACATTGACGGTTCGTCTACGGGAGCTTTTACTGTACTCAGGTAAATGCATAAAGAACTTGAGCCCAAAGTCGCCTTGGCTAAGCTTTTGAAAAGTTTAAAGTAATTCTTAGTAACTTGGTTGATAGTTTATACTCTATAGTATGTCAAGTCTATAAGTACGAAAGCGAATACAAACTAAAACCAGAGACTAAGATTATCTACTTGCTAGTTTAGAATAGATGTCTTTAGACGGGGAAGAGGAGAAGAAGACTCCGAGCAGAATACTCTGTAATGCTTGTAATTCAGGCAAGGGGCATGCCCGCCTTAAGGCCCGCCTCTGCGGGCCCAAAATCTGGCTGTCAATCATATTGAATGCCATTCAAATCATAAATATAAACAAGAAAGCACCAAATATGCGCGCAGGCGTTTGTTTACTTCTAGCTGCCATATACGTACATATATATATAATATAGATATATAGGTGTGTGTGTGTGTGTGTGTCACACATATATCTATTAGAATGTCACTAGCCCCACTCATTTTAATGTTTAGCTTAAATATTTATTCATTTGCGTGGCAATTTTAGGCACATGACAATTTGTTGTTCGCGTTGTTCTCGTTGTTGTTGTTGTTGCTTATTAGATTGTTGTTAATGCCAAAGCAACAACAACAACAACAAAAACAATTATTAATTTGTGGCTCGCACGCGCCTCAAACAGCTTCAGGCCAACAAAAAAAAAAACACTTAATTATAAAAATTAATATTAAAAAATGTGTGTATGACGCGCGCGACTTAAAACGCGTTCGCTTTTCATTTCTCTCGCGTTTCTTATCGCTTTTCGTCGCCTATTGTGACTTACGTGTAGCCGTAGAGTTGCACACGCATGGCCGCCAGGAGCGCCAGTGTGCCGCTGGAGCCGCCAAAGCTTTGGCCAAAGCTGGGCGGCGACGCAGACCACGATGTGGGCGTTACCGGATAGGATGAGTAGGCGTGGCCGTCGCTGCTATTATTGCTGCTGCTGCTGCCGCTGCTGTTGCTGCCGCGCGGCGCCATCGCCAGCTGCAGGTGCAGCGACTCCGTCGAGGAGCAGCTAGAGGAGGCGCCTGTGTAGGTGCTGGTGCGACGTCTGTTCGCCCTGCTGTACTTGTGCTTGTTGTTGTTGTTGTTGTTGTTGTGGGCAACGCCTCTGATGATCATGGCCAGCTCATCGTTGCTCATGCAATTTTTGCACTCGCCTGTGTTTGTTGTTGTTGCTGTTGCTGTTGTCGTTGCGGCCGTGCCTGTTGCCTTTGACTTGTGACCTTTGCTGGCCTTGGACTTTGAGTTGCTGCGCGTCCTGCCGTTGCCATAGTGCGCCTGTATGGCGCGTTCGTATTCAAAGTTGCGTTGCATGTTGTACACACTGTTGTTGTTGTTGTTGTTGTTTGTGTCGTTGTCGTTGTTAGTTGTGTGGCTGTTGTTGCTGTTGTAGACGTGCTTCTCCTGCAGCTTGTGATTAACAACATGTCCCAGCGAATTGGACAGTTTCTCGAGACACTTGTTGAATAGCATTTTGTTGCTGTTGTTGTTTAATTGAATTAAGTTTGTTTGTTTGATTTAGTGCACTTTGTTGTCAATGCAACTTTCTCAACACTTGTTTAGACAGCGGAAAAAAAAAAACACCATAAAAAAATATTTAACAAAAATGCAATAAATAAATACGAGAAAAAAAAGGCAACAAATTGCGAAAACTTTTACGTTGGAAAAAACGCGTTATGTGCTTAAGCTCTTAATATTGTTGTTTATTGTTGTTTTATGTAACAACTAGCTCGGCAAATCACGCACACATATGTATACACTTTGTATAAAAACAACAAGTTGTTGTTGCTTTAGTTCTAATAAGAAAATTAAATGCTTTGCATATGTTTAAAATGTTTCTTGTTTTTTATTGCACAAATTTCTTAAAGACCGACAGCAATTTCTTCTCTTTGGCTACCGTTGTTTTGATTGTTGTTGTTTTAATTGTTGTTGTTTTAATTGTTGTTGTTGTTGTTGCCAGCTTAGCCGCTGCTGTTGCTGCCTCGTCGTCCAGTCGCGTTTGTGCCGCAATTAAATGCTCCAAAACGAATGCGGCCGAAGGCATAATAGTTTATCGCGTATTCAATTCAATATTACCAATAAATATATGATAATTGACAAAATTCTTTGTTCTTTTGTTTGTTTTTTTGCACAAAATTGCAATTAAAATATTCGCCCACGCACTACTCCACTGCTTGCCGACTGCCGTTGTCTGCTTGCACTGCTTGAAGCGCGTGCTTCTTTCTTTTTTTTTTAATATGTTCTGTGTGTTTTTTTTCAAACACCTTCGTGTTGTTTAGCCGCTGAACCGCAACTCGAGAATGAAGCTCCAGCAGCCAAGTGCTAAGCTTTTTGCTCAAGTCTGTCGTTTGCTTCGTATGCGCCTCGTCGTCGTCGTCGTCGTCGTCGTCGCTGCTGCTGTTGCTGCTGTTACGGCTACTGCTGCTGCTGCTCTCGTCGTCGACGTCGTCGTCGCTGTTACTCTTCTTGTTGTTGCTGTTGTTGTCTCTTTTGCTTGCTTTTGCGCTCTGCCGCTGTTCTAAGCGCTCAGATCGTGTGCTCGTGCATGAATGAATGTTGCCTGACTGCGTGCGGCGCTTTTTGTTTTAAATGCACAAAAGCCGAGCCGGGCTGGGATTACAAGCAACAAAAAAAACAACAAAATACGAAGAAAAAAAAACTCAAGCTCGTCTCAAGCTTGGTCCATAACATGTTAACGTAAATTTAATCACAGAGGTTGCCTTCTTTGTGGGGGCGTTGGCGTCAGCGCGCATTATTTGTTATTGTTGTGCTGCTGCTACGTCCGCTGCTCTGTCCACTGCTGTGTTCGCTGCTGCGCTCGTTGCTGTTGCGCATGAGCCTTTGCCCTTGCTGTTGTTTTTGTAGCTGCTTGGCTTGCACTGCTTGACAAATCCGAGCTATTTGAAAGTGCATAGCCTCAGCAGCTTACATGATCGATACAATGAAAGCGTTTGCATATGTATGTATGAGTGTAAGCAAGAACCGTTTGAAAGTTGCCCATCATATCCAGGCGAAGGTACTTTTACTTTTACGTTGGCGTTGGCAACGCAGTCGCAGACGCAGGCGCCGGCGCCGACGCAGGCGTTGCCTCCGGCTTTGGCTTTGGCTATGGCTTTGGCGTTGGCGGGCGGCGGTGACTAACTTAATTGAACTGCTTACATATGCGACATTTTTACTGTACTTAGTTAACAGCTATTTGAATGCTACGCGCTCGATCTGACAACATGTCAGCAGACACATGAATCAGAACCCGAATTCGCCTTTAAGTATATTTTCTGTGAGCGTGTGTGTGTGTGTGTGTTCGTGTATGTATATGGTCATAATGTAGATGGTATAGCAGCGTGTAAGCGCCGCCAGTTACCTGCCACCGGAAATGAAATTGAAACCGAATAACAATGCGGGCAATTTTTCGTGTTGCGTCTTTGGGGATTTTGTTGTTGCGAGCAAGCGAACACATACACACACAGAGACGGAGAGAGAGATAGAGAGGAAGAGAGAGAGGGGGATGATGGGCTGGCAGGTTATTGTGAGAGAGACAGAGACAGAGCAACTCTTCTACTTTGGCGCAGGCGCAGACGTCAGAGGCGAACGTGCTGCGCATATTTGGCAGCCAATTTTGCTTGCGCCGAGATCTCATGACGACGTGTGACAGCCCCAGGCACAGCCCCAGCCCCAGCCCAAGTCCCATTCCAAGCACCAGCAACTGTGGACTGGCGGTCCGAACCGTGGGGGTTGTTGGCGATGACAAACCGTTTGGTTGCGAACGGCTCATCATCAAAATTCGTTGGAACAACGTCAAACAGAAATGTTTCAAAGTCGAAAGCTACAATAACAAATCGCATCAATCAGCTTCAATATTGTGTAAAAGATAATAAAAATTAAAATTAAAAATAAAAAAAATAAACAAATCAGTCGACTTACAACTATTTCAAGTTTCAGAAAATGTCATAAAAACGTGTAAAGTCTAAGCCGAATGGAAATATTCTAATAAGCATATACAACTCGTTGTTATCCTAGCAAGATGAGCTGGCCAGGTGTGTCATTGAGCTAAGATCAACAATGAGGATCGTGTCGATTGTAAGGGCTTAAGTATCCAATAATATGGATTAGAATTCGCGACATTAGTTTACATGTTATAATAGTTTTGTTAAGAAATTCTCAGAGCTGAGTTTATCGAATTCGCACCTGATTTATTGATAAGATATTGTTGATATTTACAAGGCAGTTACAAGGCCCACCACGCCTACACACACGCCTCTGTTCGAGTGTTAAAGGTTCTTCGAATCAGTTCCATTTAAGAGAACCCAAGCGACGACCTTCGTTCGCCCCAAAATGTTGCCCAAAAGTAGAAGCTATGCAAAAATCATAATAATGAAAAAAAGCAACAACAACAACCACAACAATAACAATTATAATAGTAATAATAATAATGGTAATAATAATAAGTACAATACATAAAACACAGCGATCGCATTTGGGCACGACGAGCGACAACAACAACACGAGCCAAAAATAAGCAAGTGTGATATGAGCGAAGGGCACGACTGGCAGATACCCTGTAACTGTATCTGATGTCAGATCAGTGCGCTTCTAAATAGCTTTACTGACATTCTCGTGAAATAAACATTAAAATGGAACTAAAAATGTATATTTAATGATTTTGAATATCAAAACAGGACTTTAATCGATTCAGCTCCTTATTCCGATCAAAAGTATGCATATATATATTGTATATATATATCTTGATCTCGGAGCTGCCTGTTACCCAAATGTGCAACACTTTATTATACCCTGCTCATGTGCCAGGGTATAGAAACGATCACATAAAAAAAATAAATAAACATAATTTATGGTTTAATAACATTTTCATATTGTGCGCAAATGTCGGCATTTAATATGCGAGCCGCGATACTATGCGACGCATTCGGTTGCCCATAGCCCGGGTCTCCGGTCCGCGTTCCCCGTAACCCGTAACCCGTACCCTGTATCCCCCCGTCTAGCCAGCGGGTCCCCCGTTGCCCAGCTGCCAGCTACCAGTCCCCAATTACCAATTGCTTATAGGCATGTGCATATATGGCACGTTATCTGAGACTCTGGAGTCCGTTGTTCAATGGGACTTGGCATTGAGGCGCCTGTGGGCCGGGGACACAGCTGGGCGTGCAACTGGCCTGGGGCCTGAGGTTATTAGCCGCTGTTAAACGGGCCCAAAGAAAGCGCTGGTCAAGTTCAGGGTAAGGTAACAGATTTAACTAAAACTAAATCTCAAACTGCAACTATGAGACTTGCATAGAGAGGCATACAAGCAGCTAACTGCTTGCAGCAAATCAAAGCAGAGAGAGAGAGAGAGAGAGAGAGAGCAGTGCGCCAGCATAAACTTGAGTGAGCTTTAAGTCGCCATTGTGTGAGTCACATTCACACTTACTGAGCATATTTTGCATAAACATTGTGAATCAATGCATGACTGCGCCCGGTGACTCAACAGCTCGTGCTATCAAAGTGCTAAGCCAAGCAGGCGGGACTATCAACTACCCTGTACTTTATGTTATTTTTGTTTCTTTGAAGTTCCTGCATTTTTGGGAAATTTTTTAAATTTAAGGGAAGCTATTCAATAAATAAGAGATACATTGATGAGCTGCAATAAGCCCTTAGGCATAAAGCACATACATGAAGTATATATAATCTATGTAAACCTACGATTTACAATTGCCTGCTTAGAAAAACTCTTCGAATAAAATACAAACAATGCACTGTAGCCCTAAAATTAGTTTGTATTTCATTTCCATATTATTTATAACTTTTCCTATGCATAACAGGTTTTTTGGGCCATATACAATGTTTGAAAGGGACTTGATCTATGGCATAGAAACAGCTGCATACAACGTTTTTTTTTCCAGTTTTAGCTACCATAGAGCCCCAGCTTGATTTGTGCAAGCAAATTTCGACTCGTTCGACACGGCCGTTCATCAAAACCCGATGGGTTTGCAGCCTGTAATTTCGTACACACTTTTCGGACAGTATTTATACCCTGAACCCATTTAAAACGGGTAAACAGGGTATATTCTATTTGTGCAAATGTATGTAACAGGCAGAAGGAAGCATCTCCGATCCCATAAAGTATATATATTCTTGATCAGCATCAATAGCCGAGTCGATCTAGCCATGTCCGTCTGTCAGTCCGTCTGTCTGTCCGTCCGTCAGTATGTATGAACGCAAGGATCTCAGAACCTATAAGAGCTAGAGACTTGAAATTTTAGCTGTAGGTCCTCCTAGTCCCCGCGCAGTCGATAACTTGTCCCGTTTCCAAGTAATCGATAAAAATCGATATCGAAATCCTGTTTTTTGAGCAATTTCTGCAAATAATATGAGCTAGAGTCACCAATCTTGACATGTAGCTTCTAGAATAGTATATATGTATATATCAAGTATCTTTCATTTTATACCTATCGTGGGAAGAATAGGGTTCAGGATATCCCCTAGTCGGGAGCTCCCGACTAGAACC